TTTCCTTCTTTCCTTCTTTCCTTCTTTCCTTCTTTCCTTCTTTCTTTTTCTTTCTTTCCTTCTTTCTCTCTCTCTCTCTCTCTCTGTCTCTCTCTCTCTCCTTTCTCTTTTCTCTCTTCCTGCATCTTGTGAAATTCAACTTAAATAAATGGGCGAATATCTGGTTAGAATATTAGAGGTTTTACTTTTGTAGAAAGGGCTTGTTGGAAAGAAGCAGGGGGGAGTAGATGGCTAGGGGAAAAAGTTAGTTTGCATAGTCCTGGGAATAGACATTCCATGAATAATGCAGAAAATGGAACTATGAGAAACATTTTCGGAAGAAGATTGCTTTGCGGGTAGACGAGTTCATTTATTCCAAAGAAAAGGCAACTCACACATCTTAGCAAACCAGTAGGATTGGCCCAGAAGAATAGGTTAAATCACTTCACTTCTCAGCTGTCTCTGATCTTGGGGGCCCAAGGCACATCAGGCCACACTGAACAATTGGGCAGCCTGACACTAATTTAAAACACAGGCTCAATGTATTGGTTCACTCCTTAAATCAATTACTCCATCTATCTGAGACTTTTGTTGGTGAGTTTTATACATGGCAAACAGTGTTAGCAAAGAGGACACACGATGCGCTCCATTCTTTTTTTGCACAACAGTAGTTATGGGTAGGGCAGTGGGAAAAGCAGAAGCATGTTCCTGTGTGAGCAAAGTTAAAGTGAGAAAAGGAAAAACATAGATATTTAAGACAGATCTTGTCTTTTTCTTTATTGTGCATGTTTACTTGAAGCAGCAAAGGCTCAGTCCAGTATCTATGAAAATACGGAAGTCTATCTTTTGAATTCAGTGACTACTGTTCTGAGCCCTACGTACTACTCTGGATTGAGTGTGGTGGATGGCCTTTGAAAAGACACAAAAGAAATGTGTAAGTCTAATGGGTTGGCTGTGATGGCTCAGCTGCAGGCTGAATGTAAGGTGATTGCTTCGGGGAAGTTTTAAAACCATTCTTTAGGGTATCTGTCTCTCTGAGTTAACACTGTTCACAGAGACTTTATGCTATTTTGTGTCAATCTAACATTTCTACAGCTGCTCTAGTTTATCACTTCATTTGCCAGCTCTCTCCTCTAGCAGCTCTTGTGTGTCCAGATCCTCACCAGAAATTCCCACAGAAGCCCCTAGGAGTTACTGCTAAAGAAGGAATTATTTCAGTTTAATGGTATAATTCGGAACACAGTTTTGATACACTAAATTTATGTTTAAAAATGGTATGTAGTTATGCAGATGCAGTATATGCTGGTCACTGAACAATGTTTTGGGGAAAGGAGAAAGGAAAAGGCAGCTGCAGTGCTTCATATGTTACTTGTCTCTTCACAGGTGGAGCTTACTGGTAATAGCATTTATGAATACATACACCCTTCGGACCACGACGAGATGACAGCCGTCCTTACTGCCCACCAGCCCCTTCATCCTCACCTCTTACAAGGTACCTGTATGATCTGTTATCAAACTGTCTTGGTAAAACTACAAAAAGTAACCACGCTAGACTGACATGTGAAATATGAAAGCTCCTCCCTATCGGATGTGAAGCTGTGTACACAAATGGAGGAGGAGCATGAACTTGAAGCTGTGACCCACCATTTTGGCTTGTAGCAGTAAAGAAACGAAGGCATCCGAGTCTAAATAATGCTTTTCATCCCATGCAGTTTTAAACATTTTTTTTTTTTAGATTTTACCCCACAATCCTTGTTTTGTGGGATGCTGTGACAGCCTGGCTGTGCACAGCTGCAGCTACACAGTCTTGGGAGGGAAAAAGGAAGAATACATTAGGCAATTTGGAATTAAGAAGGTACTTTTTAAAGCTCTAAAAAACAACCGTTAAATCTGTAGTTTGAACAAAAAGCCAGAACTAATACCCTCCACGGTAGGAAGAGCAAGAACGGGTTTTGTAAATGATCATCATTTTAGAAGATGATCTCTCTGGGAAAAGGATACCCTCTTGCCTAGGTGCTGGCTCCATGATTCACCACGCCACTCCACAGATCCTGTGCACGCACTGCACGCGCTTCACCCACACGCACCCAGGCGGCTCGGTGCTAAGCAGGATGGAGGGTAGGGAAGATTCTTACGGATTATTTCATTTCTTAGTGGTAGTTCTTTGAACTTTAAAATATTAGAAGATTTTTGCTCCATTATATTCAACACACTTTCACATACATTCCGTAATCAATTAATCAGAAGTATTTCACATCATGCCAGCTTTTGACTGCCTTAAGACACATCGCCTAAAAGCATGAGATGCTCTCGGCTTACATGAAAATCCTAGTGAGAATCGGATTTTTTTTTTGTTTTTTTTTCTTAAATTTCTGGTGTCTGGGCTGTTTCTGCACTTGATCATTTCCCCCTAGTTCTGTCTCCTATGACTCCATCAGCACAGAACCACATACCCTCTCCATGCAGGCAGGTTTAGTGTGCCTGGGAGCGTATGCACTGCTGTGAGGTGGTGTTAAAGAACCATCCTTGCTTTCCTCTCTCTTCCTTACCCACATATGCTCTTTTTTTTTTTTTTTTAATCCCACAGTGTCACAAGAAACAAAACCTTCCTTTCCTTTTACTGGCCTGTTCTTAGCTGCTACTTGATTATTTCATAGTTTATTAATTCTGTTTTCTCCCATTTTTTTTCCAGGTTTAATAATTAAATAATAATAATAATAAAGATCTTTTTATCTTTTTCCTTTTTTCTACCTTACTGATAAGCAGAGGGGATGCCTCTGATATAAATCCATGACTTCCCATGCAGTTCTGCTGATATCCATTCTGCTGGCTAGTATATTCAATATCTTGCCAACGACAATAGTCTGATGTTTTTATTGTAATATATTTCTATTTGCTAATTGGAAAATTTATGTGAATTTAAAACTGTCCCATGAAAATAATTTTTGTGTCAAATATAAATAAGCTCTCAGCTATTGTCTATTAAATGTTATGGCTCTGGCTTACTAGAAGCAGTAGGATAGCGCACTAGTGCTGCCGTTCTAGAAGTTATTTTTGTTCAGAGCAAGGTATTAGTTGTTTCTTGCTTACGTTTGTATGCAAATGGATGCTTATCATGTCTGTTAGTGCTTATTCTCAGAAATAATAGGGTTCCTCTCGTGTACTGTGTTCTCATTTGTATAGTGATTTTTATGCACCTCTTTCTTGTCCATATCTCTTCCCCACACAACATATGGAACTAGAGCATTAAAGTATGCAGAGTCCTTACCTAAACATTTAAAAAATGAAGGATTGATTGAATACTTTTTGATCATATTTGCCTTCCTTGTGCAAGTTGTGTCATTTTCTTTGGTGGATGAATTTAATCCTGAGGTATAACTGGAAATACTTGGCCCAGAAGAATCAAAGCAGCTTTCCTAGTGGTATTCAGTGAAGCCCTGCAACTTTTTAATGAATGGCACAAATGAAACAAGTTATCTCTAAATCCTAGTAGGCATTCGGAATATTTAAACAAAGCATGGAGCTCCACTTTTAACTTAGTATAGAGGGAGGTTGAGTGAGAGAAATTTTATATTCTAACAAAAGAAAAAACAAGAGCCTTTTTAATGGTCAGTTTTTGTCATTTTAGTTTGGTTTTATTTCTTTTGATCTCTTAAAATATGTCTAAGTCATCAAGTCACTGGATCAAATAAAAACTTTGCCTTATAACCTAATTATATTAGAGATCTCTCCAGCCTGTGATACTACCATGCAATACCTCAGAAGTAAAATCAATATTGCACTGCAGAGGCAGATATTTGTAACACAAATTTACAGTTTGACTTATATAACTTTATTTGTTCTTCATGTGCACTTCAGCTACACCTTAGACATACATGTATTTTTAGCTCAGTTGCTATTTCAGTGGTTGCAGCTTTATAAGATCTCCTATGGTAGAAGTCATGAAGGTAAACATACATATCTATATGTTGTGGTGTTCTGTTACAGATCTTGAATAAGCCAGAGCACCAGTTATTTTTGAACCTTTCCCCTCCACTTTCCCCATTTGATACTTTTCCTTTATTTATTCATTTGCACTTATTTTTCCTCATTGCCTGTTTTATCTTCTTCAAACCTTCCCCCCTCTCACCACCGGTTCATCAGTTCCTTATAAGCTTTTCTAAAAGACCAAATAGTACATGAGAAAGCTCTAAGCTTTGAAGGTGTTGAAATCTAGAAGTTTTATTAGCATGAGTTTTATTTCTCAGGCAGAACAAATTATTGCTAATTGCATAAAATCAGACATAACACACTTTTCTTTGTATGGTGGTAGTTGTCCCATTATTCACTTTAAACCCCCATCTTGGTACTCAAAAACAATGTATTAGTTTAGAAAGCATACTCCTTCTTAAATTATAACTGCTACTAAAAAATCCTTCACACTTTGCTAACACTTCTGGTACAACAAGGCACACCTTCAAACATGAAGGCTAGATATCTCCTTTTATGAAATGAAAGTGAAGATTCTTGAATAATCACATGCTTTCAGAAGCTGTGTCTTTATAACTGGATTAAATGTAATAGAATTGGAAAAGTGAGAGTTTATAAACCAGCTGTTGTGTCTTCTCTGTTCAGATAAGTCAAATATGATGCTACAGTGAGTTTTGGTAAGGGAAGCTTTGGGGCCAAGAAGCTGAAAGGAGCAGTTCTGAGAAGCATTTAAAAGTCATACGGGACAAACAGCTCAGTGTGAGTTTGTGTGGTGGTGCTGTGGCACAAAGGCGTAATGGAAAATCCCTGTGTATGTAAGCAGGGAAGTAGTAAACGGGAGTAGCGAGGATGAATGATTGTATTCTTTATGTAGTATTAGTGAAATGGACACTGAATTGTTGTATGCAATTTTGTTGTCCACTTAAAAAAAAAAAAGAACTGACAGATTGGAGAAAGTACAAGAGAACCACAAAAGTGATTGAAGGGCTGGTTAGGCTTATAATGAGAGATGAAAGAACACCATCTGTTTGGTTTATCAAAAAGAAGATTGGGAGGTGACTTGGTTGCTGTGTATAAATACTTCTAAGGGAAAAAACACTGGGAACTAAAGAACTGTCTGTTTTAGGAGAAAAAAAATAGTATCAAGAACCAATGTCTGCAAAACCAAGCCACAGAAGCTCAAATTAGAATAACGCATACATTTATAACTAGAAGTTTGATTAACCACAGGAACAAAGTACTGAGGAAAGCAGTGGTTTCTTCCTCTTTTGATGTCTCCAGATCAAGGCTCTATGCTTTCTGGAAGATACACTTAAGGCAAACAGAAGTTACTGAGCTCAGTTCGGCAGTAACTGAGTGAAGTTTAATGATGTGCAATGTGCAGGTTGGACCTATGATCTAACGTTCCTTTCTGGCCTTAAAAATCTATAAGCTATGACTCAATGAAAGCCATAAGCCCCATGATCTGTGGAGGCTTTGGAGAATTTCAGCTTTAAATTACAAAGTCCTTAAGCCGCCCTCTTCCTTGCATGACCAGCATTGAAAATGTAAAGCAATACGTACTGATCTCTTGCTGTGAAGGAAGTCAACAGCTGGACTCTCTTTCTTATGGTGACGGGGTTGGGGAAGAATAAAGGTCTCCTTTCCATATACACATTAAATGTAGGGTATGCCTCAGTGAATCAACTCACATGAGTCATTGGACCAATTTTGTACCCAGAGTGCAGTTTTAAAAAAATAAATCCATTATATTTAAATGAAATGAGTTAGTAACAAAAATAAAGAATAAATTGATGTCTTTTCCAAACAGCGTGTACTGGCTGTGCTCAGATCTTAGGTGACTTTACTGGCCATTCACTTCTTTGCAAATATCGCTTAGAGTATTTCTGGTCTACAACGTGTGTCTGTGTCCTGGCTCAGTCTTGTACCTGTGAAGTCTTACACCTCAGAGCTTCGTGCTCCTTATGCATCTGTATTTGTTGCAAAGCCAAGATTCCTGTGCCTCTGTCCCAAGATCTGCAACACTTCAACGGGAACCATTCTGGTTGTTGGTTCGTAGCGTGGTGTCAAGGAACCGCTCTCTTCAATGTAAGGAAGTGGTTTTGATATGTGCCGTCTTTTCTGGAACACTTAGAGCTCTGGAAGTGTCTCTTTTCTATTTGCTCTATAGTGGAACTAACAAAGCAGTGCACTGTGTGAGGGCCTTGTGCAGTGGCAGAAGGTATTTACACAGCGGCCGGAGGAGGCGTGGGCTCCAGGATGTTGAGTGATGGGGTAACAGGAGTTTCTGAATCTCAGAGGCTGTGAGGATACATTTGTGGACAGCTGGAGGGACTCAGCGCAAGCTGCTCGTCTCTGGCCCTGGTACGCTGTGGTTGTGGTGCCGTGCAAAATTTTGCCTGGCCAGCAATACCTCCAGAGACTCATGGAGGCGGGTGAGGAGCTCTCCCCTTTGCTTACATGTAGCGTGGAGCTAAGCACCTGTCAGGCTGGTAAACCTGATCTGCTGCAGCTCAAAAGCCA